AAAATATTTCAAAAAAATATAACGAACTGTTTATTAGTAGCTCCATGCATCCTTATTGCTGAGAGAAAACTGTATTTCGATATCATTAACCGTTTATAATTTATGGGGATGGCCCATAATTGTTGGGATGTCCCAACAACTACTTGTTGCAGGAATTGTGTATTCCAGTATGTCATATATTTTTCTGACAAAATTTCCTTAATTGAAGAGCTCAAGTCTAAATGCATGGTTCGGTGAGACATGTATTCATTTTGATAAATAAGAGAAAATTCATAAAACCTTCCACGCTTTAGTGTTTTTGATCAATACACTCTTTCAGTACATCTTCAAATCACAACTGACCACAATTCACTGCGCAGACCACAATTCACTGCGCAGACCACAAATCTCTGCGCAGACCACAATTCTCTGCGCAGACCACAATTCTCTGCGCAGACAACAATTCTCTTCGCAGTCCTCAATTTACAGCGCAGACCTCAGTTCACTGCGCACACGAGGGTCTACTGCACTGCAGTTAACACTTCACAGCTTAGCTCCCTCTCCAGACTTCAGACTGCTGACTGCTGTTCACCCACTGCACCACTGTTCACTGTAATGCACACTTCACAGCTCAGCTTCCACTTCAGACAGACTACTGCGCACACTACGGACTGACTGCTTACTACTTCTACTTGTTACTTGACTACTTCCGACTACTACTCTGACGCCAGCAGTACATTTTGTGCAGTTTTGTGAACGCACTAAGAAGTGCAATGCGCGATCACGCCACCGCGGTGGGACCATTCCTACCCTTACGGGCATCTATGGCCTATCCTGTAACATAAAGAGAAAAAACAAGGTCAAAAAATGACTTTAGCCTACCGACGCGCGCATTACGTGCTTTGTACTACTATGTTTATCCCTCAGTTCCACTTCTCTGTTTCAGATTGCTCTTACTCTAGAAAGTGCTTCGGTCGCCTATACTTCGCCCTTTGATCGGGTTGGTATGAGGCAATCGCGGAAATGAGTTTATTTTCCGAGTCAGCTGCTTTCTGAAAAAAAAATTAACTAAAGTTTTTATATGATTTTATAGCAGTAGCATTGATGCTTCGCGATGTAAAGTTTCTATACGAGTATATCTAGGGGCGCTGAGAGCGGCCCAGAGACATTCGTTTTGAACTACTTGCAGTTTGTTTAATAGATAATTTGCTGCTATTGCCCAACTCGGGTATGCGTAGTCTATTTGCGGCCTAATTATTGCCTACTCTGACGGCCGCCGGCAGCGGCGAATTTATACCTGACCGGCGCTCGCCTCGAGCCTTCGGGAAAATTCGCAACACCTCTACGCGACTCGCAATTGGCCCGGAACCGTCCAGTTCGGGGAGAAGAAGGGGCGCCGGCAGATGACGCAATCCGCGCAGCGAATTGCGGCAGGTGATGCAATATTCGTTACAATATACTTCACTAGATGTGGAAAAAGTCAGTTATTCAAATTATCGTTTTTCGTGTTCTCGCGTCAGTAAGTCGATTATTTCACAAAGGGCACAATGAGGGATAATAGCCAATATCCATAGCTGATTTGCTTTTGCAAATAATTTTTATTTCACAGGAACGTATTTTATCAATTCTTGCCAAAAATGCTCCTTATCATCTACATCTGTTGGGTAGGGGTACATTAATTTAAGAAAATTGCAAAAAATACACTTTTCGTCGTGTTTTGGACGTTTAGTAAAAATTAAATAAATGCGGCGAATAGAGCAAAATGTAGTGTCGGGGCTGTTGATGGATAGTTTTGTGATCAACAGCAATGTAAATAGTAGTCACAAGTTACAAAATAGTTTTAAATTAATTTCAAGACAAATAAAACTGATATTTATCACACAAATCGGTAAAATACATTCATTACCGCGGTAACGCTTCATTAGATTTTCTTCAATTTTGTGTAATACAAACAAAATCTATGTTAGGTTATGTTGGGGCAAATAGTTTGGGGTGCCGACACCAGGAGCACGTGCCCGGAGCGCCCAGGAGAGTAGTTATATGTTTAGTGATAGAAAATAGTTTTCAAGTGGGTACAATAGGCCATTATGCACGAGTTACTTGTTTATTCACTCGCACTACAACGCTCGTGAATAAAAATCTAAATCAGGAGTTTTCAAAGGGTTCTGTGTAGACCTCCCGCGGATCGATGAAATTTTGAAGAGGGGGAGTGATGATCAAGGGGTCGATAGAGGGGGGGGGCGTCTCTAGCCGAATATGCACTGGCGATTGATTCGTACAATCCAGATTCCATTGATTGTAAAATATTAAAAGAACTTATAATGAAATAACATATTTCTAATATTAATCAATGAAGCAATACAATTAACAATAATGTAATAAAATAATATAATAAAATAATAATATAATAATGTAATATTTCAAATTACCTAACTTACTAGTTTATAAAAGTTAGATATATCATTTACATAATTTACATTTAAAATTTTGAATACTTAGAGGAAAGGGCTGAAAGGTTGTCGCAACTTTTTCCCGTCTGTTATTGTTCTATTTGTAAAGGAAAATTTTCCAACATCTGTTCTCGAAAATCTGAATTGAATTATGCTTGTAATCTCCTCTACTAAAGTATGTGGGTCTGCCGAATCGGATGTACATATATTTCAAAGCTGCATAACGGGGATGTTTTGTATAGCCCTTCGGATTGCTGGATAATCACATTCTATTTTCTTCCTATTACCTCGGTAAGTTATATTGTTAGTAAAATATGTCCACCGGAAATTGAACTCAAAATCATGTGCAACAATAGGTGACAATGCTAACTTTCGAGCAATCTATGTAAATAATATTAATATAATGATGATAATAATAATAACAATAATAATAACAATAATAACAATAATAATAATAATAATAATAATAATAATAATAATAATAATAATAATAATAATATATAGTAGTAATCATTACAAAATATTCTTTAGTAATGCTGAAGTTCAGGCTATTTGACTACACTTTCGCCAAACCACTTGAAATATTTACATTATTTTCCACGTGAAATATTTACAATTTTTTTCATACACATAATGATAAAGAAGGGGAAACATTGCTTTTATTTTGAATTAAAATTAGTATTTGAACATAAACATTTTATTAAAAAGTTTTAGTAAATTTACATACATTTAATTACAGTTTAATGTTTTCAATTTATAAAATTGCATTTCCGTCGTTCAGTGCCACCAAACGAAATTTGCGTTCGTGTTATTAATGTTAATTGTCGAAAACTCGTCCAAGTTCGCTTTGACTGAAATAACTAGATATCTGTGTTTACAAAAGATGAGAGAAAAGAATAACATTATATGGTATAATGAAAATTATGTCAGCCACGTCAATGTCGGGGGCAGAGGCTTACGAACGCTCACGACTCCTGCCCAAAGAGCAACCCGCTGGATATTTAAAAGTAAAGGATTTACAAATGTCTCTGAAATGGCGGTAAATCATCGGATATGACAAGAGTCTTATTGAGACGGCAATTGACGTTTATGGCCCAAAGTTTACTATATTAATTCTTATTTTAGCTACTAAAGGAAAGATAAGATGCAGTGAAATGTAATTGTAATACATCAGTCAGATTTCAAATGGTCAATTGGGAGAAAAATACTCAATCGAAAGTATTTTTATTTTTAAAATCGTGTGATTATATTTTCTTCCTACGTTCAAATAATAGAGAGAAACATTTTTGTTTGTTAAAAGAACTCTCCGTCCGAAAGCGACAATTGTTTATAGAGACTAGTTCATAATATTTCACTTTATTGCTAAATACACAAATAACTGAATGCTTTATTAAAGCACAAAATCGAACAAAAACAAGGAAATTCACCATTCAACAATATTCCTACCGCTCGGCAAAACTGTTTATACAAAACGGAATTTAAATAGAAAATAAACATGAAATAGTAATAAAGAATATAATCATAATTCATATCTCTGTTGTTTGATATAACACATCTGACAAACATTTTATTTTGTAGCCACTATTCCACGCCTTGCACCGCTTCAGTTTGCGCGTGTTTACCTCTTTCTAGATGTAGATGGGAAATGAGCGCGGGGTTGGGGGACTTTGCCAGATCTCGCAGGAGAGACTGGCTTCCAGGAAAGCAGGTAGCTCCTGCGAGCGCGATATGACAAGCGTGTCATCTGTTGATTCATAAAAGTACTGATTCATATAGTACACCTTACCATCAGTAAATACCTCTTCTGAATAATAAGTTGATTTATGTTTCTGGGCACGTCCACAGCACTAAAGCACAGGCACAGCTATAAACATTTTATTCCGGGAGGTAGCGGTGTTCCTCCAGCATTGGATGGTGAGATTCGGCGCCGACTTTCGCGGTGGATTGCAGGGAAATTCGCCTCCCGTTGTCTCCCCGCAGCGGGGTAACGCCCCAGCCGGGACAAGTTCTAGTTCCCGACTGCTCTTCCGACACGTGATAGTATGTGTGGAAAGAGAGATGACAGGTGATGCACGGGAGAAGATGATGGAAAGGTCGCGCCCCGTCCGTGCCCCTTTTGTTAGGGTTCGGACATCCGGCATTCGAATGTTATTGAACTGAGAAACCAGGAAAAACTACCGATCAGAGGAGGCGGTCTCTAGAATTGCCCTCCAGACTTGGACTCCATACCCCTCCACATAGGTAGAATGGAACTATTGTCGAAAATCCTCCACCATGGGGACTCGAACCATAGGACTTTCTGGTCAGAGTCACTGCAAAATCAACGGCCCACTTTTCTTGAATTACTGTTCATTAAGTAATATTTTAATACTGCGTTCTTAAGCGTACAATGCATAAGTTTCTTGCATAACCTCTCATAATTTTAACTGAGGAACAAGGGAGTCAAACGCACGTGCAACCTTCCGGCTCCGCGCATGCGCTTTTGGCAAGCGTGCTAGCTGCCCCTTCGGCCACGCGCCACGGCCTCTGCAGTGCCAGCCGGCAGCGCGTCGGGTTCGCTTGTTTCTCTGGCCGTGTTTCGTCTCTCGAGTTGTGGGGGATCTGCCAGAACACCGACCTCTTCCCCACCCCATGGCCAACTGTTGCCACCGTTTCGCGTTGACTCGTTGCTCGCTCAAGGACGTCGCTCCCCCGTACGTCAATGGCGCTTGAGTGATCTTTGCCGTTTGGAAGTGAGACAACGAAATGGATTGTGTGGGAGATTTTCACGATCTGCTGTAAAATGCTGTATCTCGCTGGTGAGTATCTAAAGGTTGAAATGGCGTCAGATTCTGTAAATTTTGAAGAGGAAGAGCTGCCTTTCAAAATAAGTTAATATTTTATCAAGCAAATTTACATATGCTTAGAAGCGCTTGTTGAACAATCGGACTTTGTTACCTTACGTATTCCGGAATGAGAAATTACTCAGAGTTTACAAATATGTTCTGAATTCCCCTTCTATGTAAGATAAGCAATGTGTATTTATTTAAAAATATTAATTATATTTTTAAATACTCAATTTTTTGTGAGAATGAGTATTGTTTTCGTAGTTTTTCTCTTCTGAAAAAGTCATCTAATACTAAACTTATTCGTGTTCCTTGTCGGTGTAATTCAGAATAGTCTGTATTAGTTAGTAAATGTTAATATAGCGTTCTTGAGAAACGCCCACTTTATTTAATTTTGCTTCGTGACAATTGTGTAGCTTTTATTAATTGTAATTTTCTGCAAAAAAACAACAAACAATCATTCACGCATTTGAAGAATTGAGTGCAAGAATGTATTGATAAAAACAGAACAAAGCATAGGAGATTTTATGAATTTCCTCCGAACTTTTCCTTGAAGTATCGGACAAGCAAACATTCACTGGCGTGAACTTAAAAATAAATCAATATCAACACCATTGCAGAAAAATATCTGTGAATTTGCAAAATTTTACACCATACGGAGACCACTCTCATGAAATACATTCCGTTAAAGATGCTAAATGTTACCATTATGCATTATAAATGAGTGAATTTTCCAAGTAAATAATACATGTATTTTGTACATTGTACAATTCACTCATTTATTCAACATGTAAAATTCACTCATTTATTCCAGACGATTGATGGACCTTCCAAAAACAAAAAGAATAAAGCTGGCAATTCCGCGAAGGAATTGGTGAAATTGGGTACCGAGCGCCTTCAACAATCCCATGACTGTGGCATAGTAGCTGCAGGTTGGGCAGTCGAGCTCAGAAGAATGGATTCACAACAGCTGTTTGCGAAAAAGGCCATCAACGATATCCTATTTGAAGGACAAATGGGGACGTTACAACGTAACTCGGTGCAAATTAATACGTCACGTGTGTCCACCCCGTACATTATTCAGTCCCTCCCTTCGATCATCACAATGATTCAGCAAAATTCCACCCCCAAGACACAAGAATCTTTTTTAGTTCCTTTTAATAAGGCAGTTAGTTTCCAAATTCATTTATGCCTTCAGTATATACGTAAGTCAATTTTTTCTAGCCAATGTATGCCCAAATTGTGAATGCCAAATAAATATTGAAAGAGTTGACAAACGTTCTTACCTTACTGTATTCCTTCAGGCAGTTGATCAGAGTAGCGCCCGTTTCCATAACTATGCGACCTATTGACTGAGGTGAAACAGCAGTTAAAAACTATATCTTCAAACGTATTCCCGGTTGCGATACATCGTAGGGTTATGGACAACCGTTGACTTATAGGAATAGCATCGCCCATGATAGTGTCCTTTTTCTCGTTTTAAGGGGTAACCAAAGCAACGAGTTCATCAAATAATTCTCCACTCACCCGTAAAAAGTTGTGAAAGTCATCTGGTTCAATTAGTTTCAGTTCATTCACTAATTTTTCGTAGGTGTACTTCTCCCTCACAATAAAGCTCTGTTTGGCCCATTTTCTACTTTTTCGCGAGTTCTTTTTCATTTCCGCACTGGCGGCCACAGCAATCATCACAATACAATTCAGTATCACTCGATAGGGCTTCACTTTCATGAAATTTCTGGTTGGGACTGATTCTACAATATATTGTCATGAGGTTGTACGTCTGTGTTCGCGATTGCGCAATATATTGCACAATCACCAATATCGCTTCCATACGATACAATTATTTGCACAAACTATTATATTGTACAATAATATTGCCGTCTAGAGCCAACGTTAAAAATATTGTGCAACCCACATTGCGCAATAATATTGAGCGTCTATGGGCCCGTTTAGTGACGTCAACCTTCGTGTCGTAGTGTTGATCGCCGTGTAGTCATGGAATGTGTTATATTTGTCTCCGTTTTTCCAAAACGTTTTAAGTCTTTACGCCGGTTTGGCTTTCGATGTTTCTAGATGTTAATGTTGAATGAGGTATGTGATTAATTAATCAGTTCTTGTCATTACTGTAGATCGTTTGAAACGAGATGGTGAATCTTGGCTAGTTGAACTCAGGACATTACCTTTATTGACTGATGATACATACCCAATATTTTTTCCAAAATAACCATCGAACTATACAAAAGTACTTCCACTTAAACGAAAACTTCCGGCAGAACGAAGGGCTGAGAAAAATAGCATTCCAACTTGAGGTTTTTACTGAAAATTTGAAAACCAAAGTTTTAGGAAAGGTTATTTATTTTATAGTTACAGTGTAGTTTTTTAACGTAAACCCGGAAGAAACGTGTCCAACAATTTCAAGGAGCTTTAATATTATTTAAGATCTTTCTGTACAGGTGGAAAAATATGTTTCCCATTATAGTGACAAATGGAAAATTCTGAATGATATATTTATATCTCCAGTGGGCAACAAATTAATGCTATTGACTCTGTCGAATCACGCTGCAGCTTGTGCCATAAAAATATAAAACAAATTAGTGCATAGAATTTGCAATGTTTTAAGCAACATTTCCTTTAAGTATTATAGAAGAGTAATTAATGATAAATGTCTCTACAAAACATTAACAAAAATGAGTAAACAAGACAGGAAACTAATTACATTTAATTAAAACGTTATTTCAGAATGTTTGTAAACGGAAAACTCATGGATGTGGGTAGTAGAATGTAGTTGTTAAACACGTAAAATTCAGAACGATGTGCAACCCACGCACTACAAGGATTATTCACAGAACGTAAGGCGCTATGTTCTTAAATTTTGTTCCGCGTGAAGGAATTTTGTATGTAGTAAGAGAGGTATCCACTACAAGCAGGAAGTCCTCAGTGAAAGCAAGCGCCGCAATTTGCTCAGTAGTCACATAGATTCAAAATTTATTTCCAAAATATTTCGAGGCGGGGAGAATCCGCTACCCTCTTTCGACGCTAGGCCAAGGTCAAGTCGCGCCTAGTAGAACTCTGTAGAATGAAGGCAGTTGAGCTATCAACCATAAAATTTAGTATATTTTCGGACGAGAAACTTTGAATAAAAGATAAAAAGAAAAGCTATGTATTATTTTACGTATCATTAATTCTGATTCGTGCAAAGAAAATCGTGTTAATGATTTCATTTTCATGATTAAGGGAATATTGTACAATATGTCTAAAATTTATGTCATTGAGTAATAGAATGTGTAAATTTAGTTTGTGTATTTTTTTTCATTCTTTGTGCTTATAACTATTTCAATGTTAGTTTGTAAAGCAATATATAAATACATTTTACAATTACAATTCGAAGTTTAGCAGTAATGTTTGTTTAGAATTACCTCTTGCTTTTTGTGTTGATGTAAACACATATTTTAGTGCTGAAAAAAATTGAGTTTTTAATAGGTATTTGCGATTTTTGTTTCACGATTTTTTTGTACTCATCCACAAGCATTAATTAGATCTGTAAGTCAATAGATGAAAAGCGCATTTGTGATTTACTCCCCATTTGTGTTGTAGACTTTCGTAAATCCGAAAAAAAAAATGAATTAAAAACTTTGTGTCGATTATGACTTTAAGTACGACTAAAGGACATTATATTCTACAGGAGAGGAGGTAAATTGGAAACGACTTCTTGTAAAAATTTAAAAGAAGTGGAAAAAACGCACGCACGTACGTACGCACGCACACACGCACGCACGCACACACACATGCGCGAGGGTTACAGATCGGTAGAGAGCGTGTCACAATTGGAACATTACTTGCAACTTCCCAACCTGCCGCCGCTCTCTCCCAAATGTTGATCTGTTATGATACCAATCATGCCAAATCCTTGGCACATACATGGTGTCCATTCTTGGAACGACAGAAATGCGTTCGCTTTAATACGCGAAGCAATAGTTCTCCCGAAGGTCGCACGCCGTGGCGACGCAGCGTTCTCCGCTTCCAGTGACACCACAGTCTCGCACGTCTGCACGCGCGCGCGGATTCGTAAACATCGGAAAATGTTATAATTTATGCAACAGAAGCAAAATATTTACTCAGCGTAGATTATACTGGGAGTTTACTGCTCCACATTAAGCGCTGACCAGTATAAATCCCACTAATGTTGGGAGCGGTGTAGACGGGAATGTAAGATAGCATTCTAAATTGTTGATAACACGGGATTACATAACGAAAATGTCAGTACAAAGCATACTGTTTCTGAAAGATATTCGCCCCTAAATCCACATTTAGTTTTAAAATGTCTGTATTGCTCATTTTTTTTTGTAATAATTGTTTTCGAAAATGATTATGTAAATTAAACTAGAGGCGTTACAAGGGCACATACTTTCTTTCGGCCAATAGTAGCGAGAGAATGGGGGCAGGTAGAGCTAAACGGAACAGCCGACCACCATTTACTCGCACGATGTCAAATACCCGAGTCATCACAAGGGACGTTGTTTCGCAAAATTAAGTTTGATTCTCTTATAAATGTATAATACTGTTATACAAAATATATAGTATGCAACTCGTTTATAATGTTGCTTTATTACGTTCGTATAAATTTTAAAACTCGCTCATAAAGTCGCTCGTTTTCGAAACGTGTACTAATGCAATAAAGCTTAAAATTATAAACTAATTGCATAAAATACTATTTCGTGACTCCACTGTCACCAACCTAACACCATGTAACTGCAGACCACGACAAACCAGGGAGCCTTGCATTATAATTTCGTAACTTGGTGTTGGTTAACCTGTTATTAATGTCGTTTGTCAGTGCATACAGTGCCTTTACTTGTAACAACAGCCACGTCTTAATCTACCTAACAAAAAAATAAACTACAATGAGCAAACCCAGTAGCAAAGGTTCCGTGTCAAAATATACTGAGTTAGCTTTTAATACATTCAAAACGTGC